AGAAGCATGAAAGGAAGTGGAAGAATTTGTTGATAAAAGCCAGGCTGGAGTTTGAAAGTCCCCGGTTAAAATGAAAAAGAAACCCAGAGAAGAATGTTTAATAGGCACCTCAGGCTCTAGCTCAAATTGGTGGCAACCAGCCCAAAAGAAGCCTGTCATCAGCCTTATTCCTGACAACAACTTCTACTGAACACATTTAACATGTTTAGTAGCTTTTCAGTTAACTCAAGCAGAGGTGGCAACTGTGAAACTGTTACAGATATTTGAGCAATAATGCTTCCACATAAAAAATGAAGCTGCTGAAAGATGTTTTCAAGCAAAAAGCACCATAAAAAAACCCAAAAAAACCCCAAAAAAACAGTGAAACCTCAGGAGACCTTCTTCTAAGGCAGAAATTTAAAAAATGGCTAAGAGACTGGATGGACCAAACCCTCAGAGATGGATGGCAAGGAAACAGGCCTGGAAGCAGCCTGGGATGCAGCAATGAAATCACCAAGTGAAGGAAGCCGCAAGAAGGGACTTTGTGGCCACATCACTGCACATTTAAGCACCTGTCTCCCAGACATCAATCCACACAATGCAATTCACCATGTCCAAAACAGACAGCTGAGCTCTTTGCTACATGACCAGAGAAAATCAGGAACCACAGAAGGAGACCCACCACAGACATAACCGCATTGCTGAAAAGGGAGTTTTTAATCTACTCAGTGAGAAAGCCTGAGGGCAGAGATACGGGTTGAAAAGACTTCATCTGAGCTGGACATCAAGTAACCGCCTCCTTTATTCAGGCACTTGGAAGTGCTGCCAAGGGCAAGGGTTGGAGGCATCCATCCTGCCTGTTGAAGCTGAGTTTCCAGGGGTCAGGCCAGAGACAGCAAGGCGGTGAAGGGAGGAGAGACTAACATCTGCTGTGGAAGAGACCTGACTGCTTAGTCCCTCTCTACTGTTTAGCTTGGTATGTTCAGGTTTCTCACTCTCATTGCCCAGTGCACCCTGCTCTGGGTGATCCTGCTTTAGCAGGGGGTTGGACTAGATGATCTCCAGAGGTCCCTTACACCCCCTGCCGTGCTGTGATTCTGTGACTTACTAGCATAGTTGCTATCTGCAAATCCCATCTGTCCTGGCATAAGGGTGGCCTCAGGACCTTTTGAAGGGGGAAACACATGGAGACGGTAACATCACCATGAGTGCAGACATAATCAGTGAAGAAGATCAGGACAGGCGAAGTGAACCAGACCTGCAGTCACTGCAGTTAGGTGCATACCTGCAGCCCTAATAAGTGATAGGTTGAGGGTCACATTTTCTTCTCGTTTCTTCCTTGGAGGGCACCCCTGCTAGTATTGGAGCATGATTTTGGATCTACACAATGCAATGGCTTATACATTGGCTTAACCTGAAACAGTGCAGAGAGAACGTTTGATATCCGTGGTCTTTCAGCTTCTAGGAGAGGAGATGGATGCCCCCTCACAAGAAGAGAGAGCTGGTGCATAAACTGGTACCACTTCTTCTGGCCACCCAGGTCTTGGAAAGCCTAGTTTTAGCAAAGAGCTTTGGTTAATGAGTATCTCCCCATAGCTGTGTCCCAGCTATGGGGGCACTGAAGTAGAGCAGGATCATAGGTGCAGCTCTGTTCGTACCCTGACTTTCTCTCGGCAGCGGTGTGCAGGGCACTTAGCTGGCTGCATACGCTGCACAAAGGGCCCAAACAGGTACTTCAGGAAACTAAGTTTCCTTCCTGGTTGCCATCAGCCTACTTGCCTGGTTCTGTAAGTGTGCATCTTCATTATTAAATTTAGCTGATAGCCTTTGAATCTCCTTCTCTTCTTTCTCTTTTCTTCCCACCACAAGCACAGACACATGACGACTCTTCCCAAAAGCAGAGTAAAAAACACAGTTAACAGAAGCAGATCAGTAATGGCATTGTAATTTCCAATTTTACAATAGTAGCCATGAGATGTGGTTGCTTTACACTGCTCTTTCCTAAATCTGGGGCAGAATCAGAACAGATTCCTCTTCAAACATTCAGCTAAACAGTCAGCAATGAGATTTAATTTAATTCAATTCAGAAAAGAGGTCCTCACTAATTCCTTCAGACAATTTTCATGATAATCATTTGCACAAAGGCATAGGCCATGACTGACAGAGATGATGTGGCTGCCACCAGCTTACTACAGAGTCAAAAAATTAGGCACCTGATCCACTGGATGACTCAGAAAGAGGCATTAGCTGCCCACAGATCCAGTACAGCCAATTGAGACAGCAATTAACTAGTGACTAGAGAGAATTAAACTCCTCAGAAAGATAATCCACACAAAAGCCCTACACACAGAGCTGGAAGCTGCATAGGTCTAGCTAATAAAAAGGCTGAGAAAGGGATGTTTTTGAACACTTCTCCCTCGTGGGAGCTTAAACATCTCATTTGCAGCTGCATGTTACACGCTCCTGTGTGATTCAGAGCCTTTTGTCAGAAGAAAGCAGCAATTCAGCA